CATATGCAACCAATGCACTTTTCACTGAATTTTAAAGCAAACAATATAAGAGACATTTATTTTACAGTTTTACAATAATAAAATAAATGTAGTACTTAAAATAATGTACAACACAAACGACACCACTAAATAATTCCCTATTATATACATGCAGTTTATTAGTACTATTAGGTACTTTTCATAGACAGGCAAAAGTTGTTGACTTTCCATGGGCTCCTGTGAAGTGGCTACCTGTGGCATTCACAGAGCTCACAATGAGTCTGGAAATATGAGCAATCACCGCCAACCAGCGTCCATCTCACAGCACGCTCCGTCTGCCGCTGGAAACCAGGGAAGAGGGGAGAGACTTTTACACAAGCGTTCCCTGCTCTCCTTCCTTTAATAGCCAGTGTCATTGTGCTGGACCAGCGGGAAGATTTATAGATTTGCCCATTACAGGGCAGCAGGAGACGGAAAACATCTCTTCCTGAGAGTCTTCCTGACTCTCTGCAAGAACTAACACAACATAAATGCTTCCCACCGTGTGAATAAAATTAGCTTAATTAATCCGGCATTGAAATGAAGGCACGATTAATTAACTTTATCTCTAATGTTGATGTTCAGCAGTAAACTTGCTCATTTAGTCAAAGAAAACCTCCTCATTCATATCCAGATACATTTTGTTAGTCATATATTTGTGAAGCTGGGAACATACTTATCTGTTTAAACTCTTGTTCTGATTGGCTGTTCAATTGATGTGGTTTAAACAGATTAAAAAAAAATGGCATAAAAGTTGATGTTACTTAAAGCAATAAAATAGCACAAATGTCATAGTCTGAAGAGTGTTAGAAAAACTATTGATACTACTAAAAACCATTTATTTATTTTTAATTATAGCCTGTCCCACCTCAAATAAATAAAATGTATTTATTTATTTAATTTATAATTTTACCCTTAGTAAACGTAATGGAACATTACATAAAATTGTATGGAATAAAATAGGGGTGCTCCGATCAGGATTTTTGAGGACGATCACCGATCGCCGATCACAGAAAGCAGTATCTGCCGATACCGATCACCGATACCGATCTTTTTAAAGCCTTCTTTTTATCATTTATAACTTTTATGGTGTAATTACTACATTTTCGTGTCAATCCATGTTCATATTTACTGCAAACAATGCGCTGTTACTTTAATTCAGCGCTTGCAGAGCTTGTGCATGCTTTATTAATCCGTTAACATGAGCGCGGAAAGAATACGCACCACATACGCACTGCAAACGGAGTAATGTGAACATGGCATTATGTGTGTGTGTGTGTGTGTGTGTGCGCGCTGCGAGAGTGCATCAGGAGAGCGAGCGGGTGCTGAATGGTTAAACACTGGCAAGAATTAAGAAGTAATGCAATTTATAAACTTTAGTGACGATGTGACACTGCCTCGATTGTGCAAGTGA